TTCTCGTCCCTCTCTTTCTCCTTGTCAAGTTGCTCTTTTGCCATCTTGAAGGTTAAGGGAGAAACTTGGTCCTCTTGAGTGTACCACACCTGATTGATCTTAGTCATCTTATCAATGAGGGACGAGGCCACCTTAAATGGATGTAACATTATCCCTCCTCGTGCCAGCTGGTCCGCTACTCTTTTGGTCAATAAGTCTAGACTCCAGTAACAATATTGAAGTATCACATCACCCGGAAGCCCATAAGTAGGACATAGTAATAACAACTTTTGAAATCTCCGCTAAGTTTCATGAATTGGCTCCCCTTCTACCCGCTTGAAATTTTGGATGTTGTCCGCAATTTTACCATCTTTGAAGGTGGAAAGAACCTCATGTAAAATTCCTCGGTCAGCTCTTCCCATGATCAAATAGAGTCTCGTGTTAGCCCGGCTAACCACTTGGTTGCCTCCCCCATTAAAGAAAAAGGGAACAACCTAAGCCGCACTGATTCTTCTGAAATACCCTTGAGTGAGTAAGGACTACATATCTCCACAAAGTTCTGAATGTGTTCATGGGGATTTTCATGATCTAGTCCCTCGAATATGCCTCAAGCTTGCAAGAATTGTAGCATTTTATTGGTCACATGGAAGGCAAACTGATTTTCACCTAGAGGTAGGCGAATAGCACCTACGCCCCCCAATAGAGCTTCATTGGTGTGAAAGAAATCATCACCATCATTTTGGCGATCAAGTTGGTTCATAGTGCTTTCATTTGCACTTATCCTGTCACCTAATCACAACAGCTCACAAAACAAAGTCAAGTCAATTCAACTACAACATAAAGAACTTTCAATTCAAATTTCAATAGAAGAATTCTAAACACCACTCCCCGGCAGTGGCGCCATTTTGATTAACGCTCAACCACACCTCATCTAATACTAGGTGTGGGCGATCATAATCTAGTATAAAACCCAACAAGTGAGTTGGGATCGAACCTACAAGGAGCGGAACAAGTTTGAATTCAATTATGAAGTTATAAATGCAAATCAATCGGTTGTAAGAATGAAAATTATCGAAAGCACTTAAATAAATTGATGGGGTGACATGAATGTTAGATGGGGATTTGGTTGGCAATTAGCAACTAAAGCAATCACAAACAACAAAGGAGAAACAAGTAATTAAGAGATACTCAGGGGTATGACAGACTAACTACCAATTTCACTAAATGGGTGCTCGGTAATTACTAACAATTTCTAAATTGTAGCGGGTAAGCTGGACCTTATATGCAATAGCTTTCTCTCGAACAACTATTACGCTTTAAGTGAATTCTCTCGAGCCTCAACAAGTTTCTTACAATAAACAACCCAAAACCTCACTTCACCTACTCTCTCAAGCTAGATAGGTAGCATTGAGCTCTCGATCTTAACCCACAACAACCCAAAGACTACAAATGCTAATTTATAACCTTAGCTTTACACCTCTCTCTCAAGCAAGCATATAACACTAACAATATCGAAATACACATTCCAATATATCAATTAAGCAACAGCTATAAATCAAACCCACTTCAAAATAACATTACGATTAATATTCCCTAACGCTCATCAGATCAGACAATTAGTCACATAGTCACACCCCCAAGTATGGGTGTTTTAGCTACTCATCATGAAGAGTAAGAATTCTATACCTATTGCATTTTCCATGGATAGGTATTGATTTTCCAGCTCTTAAAATGATTCAATGGAGCTTTAATTACAAAACCCAATTTGAAATTTACTTGAAAGTTTCAAAAACTCAACAAGAACAGTATTTTTCGTTATGGGTAGGTGTTTCTCAATGTTTTGATCCTTTCTCTCTCTTCAAAATATCAATTTATACTGATCCAAAATTTGACCTTTTAGGGCCAATCGGCGAGGAAAGTCGAACTTCGTGGATCGGTTGGTGACTCGCCAATCGCCCATGTCCATCACCTTCTTGGTTCGTGTTTTCATCTAAAAGGGGATTGTAACTTTAACCTGTCTATATCGGGATCGCCAACGGATTCCGCGATACGCCATTTGTTCTTTTGGATCGCCGATTTTCTTGTATCTTCACTGCTCATTTTGTAACTTTCGACGGTCTAACCTTCCTTCGCCAATAGAGTTTATGCCTCACCTAATTTCTCTCATCCCCAGGGCTGGCATGCTAGAACTTTGGGTAGAGTGACGAACCACTCGATGAACCGCTAAATGGTCTTGGCGATCACCAGGATCGCTTTTGTTCACTTCTTCAGCTTGTTAGCTATTTTTTGCCAATTAGGGTCCTTGCATTGCTCCTTAATCTTCATAGCTGCAAATCAACACTTTAACATTAGTTTAGAGCATAGATTAGGCATTTGAGGACACTTAAACTATCAAAATAAAGCCCTAAATGAGTCAAAATCTTAGACTCATCACACATCGGCTTACGAATGAAAGGTCGCAATAAGCTTAACATGAGTACCAAGCCTTTTTTGGAAAGACTTCCAAAATCAGAAGTGAATTGTGTTCCACGATCAGAGATAATGGATAAGGACACTCCGTGCAACCTAACTATTTCCCTCAAATACAACTTAGCATAATCCTCTACCACATAAGAAACATTGACAGAAATGAAATGAGCCGATTTCGTCATTCGATCCACTATAACCCAAATCGAGTCATGTTGCCGTCGGGTGCAAGGTAACCCAACAATGATTTATATTCAAATCTTCCCACTTCCAAGTAGGAATACCGATATCTTGAGACAAACCTCCCAGCTTCTAATGTTCCACTTTCACTTGTTGACAATTAGGGCACTTAGCCACAAATTTCGCAATATCCTTTTTCACTTCATTCCACCAATAGATCTCCTACAAGTCATGGTACATCTTGGAGGCTTCTGTGATAATGGAATATCGAGAACTATGGGCTTTCGATAAGTTCTGCTCTCTCAAATCATCTACATTGGGAACACACAAACGACCATAATAGTGCAGCACATCATCAATCCCTTGGGAGAAAGCCTACTTTGTAAGCACCGCTTCCTTCAATTCCACCAAAGTCGGAACAAGAATTTAATTTGCTTTAACTTCTAACACAAAGGATGATTTTGAACCATTATGGACCATAACACCACATTTACTAGAGTCAACCAACCGAACACCCATTTGGGCCAATCTATGAACATATGTATCCAACTCCTTCTTATTATCCTCTATATGAGAGAAGATTAACCACTGTCAACCGACAAAGAGCATTTGCAACCATATTTCCTTTATCGGGGTGACAGAGAACACTTATATCATAATCCTTTAGTAACTCAAGCCACCTTCTTTGGAGAAGATTTAGATCTTTCTGGTTAAAGAAATATTGCAAACTTTTGTGGTCGGTAAAGACATCGACATGAACACCATATAATTAATGCCTCCAAATTTTCAAAGCAAACACAACTGCTGCTAGTTCCAAATCATGGATAGGATAGTTCTTTCATGCACCTTAAGTTACCTTGAGGCATAGACAATGACTTTTCTATTCTGCATAAGGACACATCTTAACCCAATTCTTGAAGTATCACAATAAACAACAAAATCATCAGTTCCAGCCAGTAAAGTCAACACTGGAGCGGAAGTAAGTCTATCTTTTAATTCTTGAAAACTCTTTTCACAGGGCTCTCGACCATAAGAATTTTTTCTTTCTTTTGGGTAAATGTCGTCAATGGAGAGGCCAATCGACGAAAACCCTTCTACAAACCTTCTATAGTAACCAGCTAAACCCAAGAAACTTCTAATATGCGAAGGGGATGGAGGTCTAGGCCAACTCTTTACCGTATATTTCTTCTTAGGTACTACCTCAATGCCCTTTACGGAAATAATCTGCCCAAGAAAAGCCATGGACCTTAACCAAAACTCACATTTACTAAACTTTCAAAAGAGCTATTGGTCCTTGAGCACTTGCAACACAATCTTCAAATGATCAGTATGCTCATTTCCACTTCTTGAGTAGATCAAGATGCCATCGGTAAATATAATCACTAACATATCTAGGTATTGTCTAAACACCATGTTCATCAAATCCATAAATGTAGCTGAGGCATTAGTCAAGCCAAGGACATCACCAAAAACTTCAAAATGATCATACCGAGTTCGAAAAGCCATTTTCGAAATATCATCTTCATTTACCTTCAATTGGTGATAACCCTACCGGAGTTTCAATCTTAGAGAAGTAACTTGATCCTTGCAGTTGATCAAACAAATCATCTATCCTTGGAAGAGGATAGTTGTTTGTAATGGTAACCTTGTTCAACTGATGGTAGTCAATACATATACAAAGTGAACCATCTTTCTTTCGAACAAATAAAACTGGAGCACCCCATGGAGAGATACTTGGTCGAATGAAACCCTTATCCAACAAAATCTTTCAATTGTTCTTTTAATTTTCTTAAGTTCCGCATGAGCCATTCGATAAGGAGGAATAGAGATTTTGTGTATCTAGGAGAATGTCAATATTGAAGTCTATTTCCCTATCGGGAGGAATATCAGGTAGATCATCAGGAAACACTTTCAAAAACTCATTTACAATGGGGACCGACTTAAGAGTAGGAGTTTCGGAGTCCATATCCCTCACCCTAACTAGATAGTATAAGCAACCCTTAGAAATCATCTTTCTAACTTTAAGACAAGAAACAAATTGACCCTTAGGCATAGAACTTCCTCCTTTCCACTCTAAGATAGGCTCATTTGAAAACTGAAACTTGACCACTCGGGTTTAACAATCAATAGAAACATAACAAGAATGCAACCAATCCATACCAAGAATGACATCAAACTCTAACATATCAAGATCTACAAGATCAACATTAGTGACTCTATGGGGGTAAGGAGACATGACAATTTCTATAAACTCTCTTAGACACATTAGACTCACTGATAGGAGTAGAGATAGAAAAGGGATCAATCAACACATCTGTAAGAATATCAACCTCCTAGCCACATATGGCATCACAAAAGACAAGGTAGTATCGGGATTAAGCAAACAATAAAATCAAGATGAAGACTTTCAATGTACCAATAACCACATCGAGAGAACCCTCTTGCTTACAACGAGTCTGAAGTGCATAGAATCCGTTTTGCTTTTGACTCCCACTAGAACCGGATGAAGGATTAGGTTGAGCCAGCCGATGATTATCTTCTTCATTCTTAGAAACTGAGGGACAATCCCTTATATTGTGACCCATCTTACCACAACCAAAGCATGCATTAGAACCGGCTAGACATCTACCATCATGCTTCTTTCCACACTTAGCACAAGTAGGAAATGAAGATTCACTACCGTTTCCTCCTTGTGGCTTAGGGTTAGACACCCAATCTTTGTTAAACTTAGGAGGAGCATTAGAGAAACCTTGATAGAAAAACTTTTGTCGGAACTTAGAACGACCATGTACATCGGACCTTGAATGTGAAAAGTGGCCATCACTGGTCCTTGTCTTCTTCACCCCCCGCCCTAGATATTTCCTTAAGTTTTCTCCTTTTATAATTGTTGAGCATGAACCATAAGACAATAAATGTCCATTTCATTGATAAGCATGGCGGTACGACATTCCTTAACCATCATCTCAGACACACCCAATATAAACTTACTCATCCTTGCCCTAGGATCGGCAACCATAGTAGGAGCATACCTAGACAATTGTGTGAACTTCAAAGCATATTATTTCACACGCATGTTTCCTTGATGAAGGTTGATGAATTTAAGTACATTTGTCTCCCTCATCTCAAAGAGAAAGAGCCTATCAAGGAAAGCAACCATAAATTTTTCCCAATCGAGAGGACCCACATCAACCGCCCTCCCTCCCTTCCATTGGTGGGACAAAACTTGAGCAAACACCCTTAAGTTGGTAAGCGGCCAATTCCGCCTTTTCCACCGGCATCACTCCCATGATCATCAACATTTTATACACTTCATCAATGAATTCTTGAGGATCTTTCTCAACCATAAAATCGTGAAATTTTGAGGGATTCATTCTAGTGAAGTCTCTTATCCTAGTTGTCGTTGTACCCACATATGGGTTCAAGGGGACCACAACCTCCCTATTGGCTTGAGTTGTCATGTCTTGAGTCGTCATGATGGAAGCAACACTTGAAAAGCAGTCATAAACTCCACAAAAGTCACTTACTCGGCCGAAGGGTCGATCGAAACTTGAGGAGCTTCAGGAGGGGCTTCTTATTCCACATTCTCATTCATGTTCCTCCTAACTTATGATCTCCAAGAGGCCATTTCCTAAAAATCATTGGATCGGGATTAGGAGAAAGGACATATAGAGTTACACTCTATTGCACGACTTAGAGTAATGAAAAAAATGAAGTTTCCTAATCATCTTATAGCTTCTTATTCATAAATGTGGCGCGCTTCATACTTATGAACAAGATTCCACTCGACGTGGTTTATGATATACCCTAGGACCTTTCTAAACCTTGTGCTCTGAATACTAAGCTTTTCACAACCCAAAATACCCCTAGACGTGGCATGGCGTATACGATCCTGAGAGGCCCTACATAAGTCATTTAGCATGCATAAACAAGATAATAGAGATTAAGAGTTTAAAAGAGACATTTTAAATCATAAAGAGTTTGACAAAAATGAAGCGGAAGTCTACATAGTCTCAAGGCCATTTATTACATCAAGAGTGATAAGGACGTAACCATGAATCACATGCAATATCTGGAGAGTAATGATGGAAAACAATAAAAGGTTCGGTCCTCGGAACATGAGGACTCACCACTACTCAAGACTACCAAAGTGATCTCTAGCCACGGAAATGCGGAATTGAAGCATCGGACTCTACATTTTTAGGAGAATGTAGGCAAGAGTATGCGTTAGTACAATAATGTACCAAGTATGATAGCAATGCATAAAGGTTATCAAATCAGGCTAAAAGGACATTTTATGACATGCAAAGACCTAGTTAAAACATAAGATAAGAGAGTAGAAGTATAATCATGATCATGGTCAATGCAAGTAAAATCATCTTTGAACACATGTGAGATACTTTTAGAAGTAACCTTAGTTCATCATTATTGTTGTGGGAAATTTGTCTGAATCGACATAGAGACCATGTGAGCTATAACATGGAATTTGATATCTACCCCACACCGAAAAGAGGTGTCCTTACTTGCCAAGGTAAGAACCATAACTTCTAGCTTAAGAGGATCCACTAGCTAATGCATATCTAAGACAACCTATAGTGGCACATAGTTTATGGGACACGGGTAATTGCCACTTGTCCACAAGATACTAAGCATAATTCCCACGGAATAGTCGTCAATCATATTCATCTTATATTTAACGGATATGGGTAATCACCTCATGTCTTATAATTATGGGGACATGGGTAATCACCTCTTGTCATACCATTAGAATAGTTCTTGATTCATAGTTTAGTTGAGAAAACCTTTTAACTCTAAGAATCCTTTATGTGAGAAAACATTTCACATTTATGTATTGAGTATTATGTGAGAAATACTTTCACAACAATCAACAACAACAACACTTATGCTTTACTCTCAAAGCAACTTAGATCATTTTCATCGATTTAGTATGAACATGCATAAATTCATAAATTAGTCTTTCATAGTTCAAAACTTACATTCAATCATCATAGTCTAGAAAACATGGGTTAAGCATGGGTTCGTGGGGATTCATCTTAAAAACATGGAACTATATAAATTCATGCATAATAGTTCATAAAACAATCAATTAGATCAACATTGAAAAGAACCCATGACATGGAAGAAAACCCTAACTTCAAATGGAGATTTCTAACTTGTAAATTGGAGAATTTAGAAACCCTATGGAGGAAAGAGCTCCATAGGTAAAAACTATCATACCTTGATGCCAAAATCTTGAAATCAATGGGGGATTAGGAGACTTGATCTTGAAACCCTAGCTTCATTCTTCTTCCTTAGGGAGAGAAATATTTGAGAGGGAGACTTGTTAAACTTTGGGGAATTTAGGAGAATGAATTGAATTGGGTGTTTTGGGGATTAAAAATTATTATATATGGCTTTGAGTAAAGGGTAAAACGACATAGTATTAGGTTGGAGTAATTAGGAAAAGACCCCAAAAGCCCCTTTTAAAATAACTGTCAGACCCCATCGACAGTTGGACCCACGCTCTGTAGGTCCAACCACGAACCGTCCTGGTCAACTATCGATGGGTTCAGAAACACTTTTTTGGGTCTTCGAACGACGGGACCCATGTACGGTCTGTCGATCAACCTACAGTCCGTACATGGACACCGTCTTTCCCAACTTTGGCCCTCAAAATTTTACTAAGTCTGTGACTCACCTACGAGACCTACGTACAGCTTGTGCATTGGACAATGAACCGTCCTGGTGAACCGTATGAAAATACTGAAACCTTGATTTTTTGAAAATTTGGACTAACCAACCACGGTCCCACCTACAGTCTGTGGTCCGACCTACGGACCATTGGTGGCTCTATCTTTGCTAGCACCAGAGTTTTTTGGAAAAACTGAAATTTTCATCTTTTGAATTCGAGGTGTTACATATTTAATTGCCAAAAATTAACATACATTATTTACAAATAAATAAGTAACAATTTTTTATGGGAAAATGCAAATATGCTATCGAACTTTGAGAAAAGGCTCATCTATGGCAGTTGTTAAAAGTTTAGCTCATCTATACCATTTCCATTTGGAAAAAAGCTCATCCATGTCATTATTTATTAAAAGGCATAATACATAAGTATTCCCTGTAACTTGGCTTCAGTTGACATCTACACCCTCCAATTTTGAGTGTGCACAAGTAGACACTTAACTTGTATAAAATTGAATAAATAGACACATTTGCCCTACGTGGCATCCTACATGACAATTTTGTGTCCTATATGGCGTCCTACATGTATTATGTCACGTATGACATGTGTGTCTACTTGTTCAATGTTTTACAAGCTTAAGTGTCTACTTGTACACATACAAAGCTTGAGGGCACAAATGTCAGTGAAAGTCAAGTTAAAGGGTATATTTATGTATTATGTCTTTATTAAATGAAATAAATAAGCTTTTTTCTCAAAAATCATTTTACTGCTCCAATTTGTAATGTGTATTTGGGCCGTCACTATCGGTCTAGATCGTCTAGTCGCTGTCTTCATCCGCACTATATTTTGCGGTCAATGGTGACTGATTGTATGTCCATTGACATAAATGACTCATGCAGCTACTGTTTGCTGCTAGTCAATGATTCTTTCTTAACTTATGTTGATTTCGCCAATGGTTGTGTATGTATGTGTTTTTGTTAGAGCTCGTCACATCAAATCTATCTAAAGCAATCTACATTATTGATGTAATTTGAAATTATTGTACAAAAATGTACTCCATCTGTTTTAATTACTTGTTCATTTTTTAATTGACACGTCTATTAAGAAATAATGATTGATATAGTGAGTTTATTATTTTATCCCCTATTAATTATGAAGTAGGTGAATTGAAAATATAAAATTTTCTAGAAGTTCTACATTTTTCAAATTAATTAATTGAGGGTATAATAGGTATAAAAAAATTGTTCTTTCTTGATTTGTCAAAATAGACAAGTACTTAGGGACAACTAAAAAGTGGACAAGTAATTAGAGATAGAGGAAATATTTATTTGGTGCGCATTTAAAAGATAATAATTGTTGGTAAATCAAATACTAATTATTTTTTACACTTTCAACACATCAATATTCCCTCCCGTTATGTTGCATTTGCTATTTTTAGCTTCCGCACCCCCTTTAAAAATATTTACTCAAAAAAACTAAGAAGATTGTTGGTTAAATATTAATTAAAGTTCCATCTTTCTAAACAAATTTTAATTTTTTTGATAAATTCCATCTTTTTAGACTCGAGCATTGAGAACTGTGGTGCATATCTAGATTTTAGTGTAAATTTAAAAAATAAAATTGATATGTTTTTAACCATATAAAATATTATTTATATTGAATTAAAAAAATACATAATATGAACTAGAGTCTAGGAGGGATTATCTTATAACCTCACTCTAGAATGCCTGATAGAGTCAACATATCCCTCCGTGGAACATGCAAGGCTCAAAAATCAAGTTTACTTTAATAAAGAAAATAATTCTTAAAAAAAATAAAATTGGAGAGTATATATAGAAAGAAAATAATAAATACTAATTAAGACAACTGTCAAGATTACTGAAAATACTTCCTTCCATTCAAAAAGGATAGTGAAGTTGATAATTATATACATTAATTTTCCTCATTGATTTGTTAATTTCTTAATATAACTTTTATATATAGAAAATACATCAAGTTTATTAAGAACCACATTTTACTGTTAAAATATTTTTAAATCTCTGGAAATTTTTTTCAAAGAAAAACTATATAATTTCTTAAAGAGATAATTACATCATAGTGCAGCCCACAATGTTACTTTACATAATTAGTCACGATTTTGAATGTTACCTGAATTGGTCCAAATGAGAAGCTTAAAACCCTAGAGGGCTACTATAGTGCCACAACCCCTTTCCGGCCTCCAAAAACTCTAAATTCATAGCCTAATGATAGATCCTAGAGAGATGAATCCAACACGACAAGAATCATTTTAAAATTTTATCCACAACTTCGAAAAATTACAAATTACAAATGCCATTATTATAGCAAATTTAAGAGGAAATTGCTAATAATTTCAAAATATTTTCTACTCAAATTTTGTAGTGATTTATGATGCCTCACTTATTGGGAATGATAGGCCATCACTAGATCTACCTCTCCGCGAATTCAAAAGATTTTATCTTGTCATTTGAGAGAAGTCAACTATCGAAGTTTGATAAAATTTTGATTTTGTACAATAGTATATATAATTGTTTATTATTGTATATGAGTGTATAAAAAAATATTAGAAATTTTGTATATTATTATATACCGAATGTATATTATATCAGACTGTATTTTGAGTTAAAATTTTATAATGTAAATTTTGGACTATTTTTTTTTTTTTAACGGTAAGTTGGATAAATGTAATTTTATACATTTTTCCCTTCTTTAAATACTATCGTCTAAAAATGAAAGATATTCTACTTTCATATTCATTACTCATTAGGT